GCAGGCGCCTGTAGTCACAGCTACTTGGGAGGCTAAGGCAAGAGAATCACCTAAGCCCAAGAGCTGGAGGTTGCTGTGAGCTGTGATGCCATAGCTCTCTACCGAAGACAACAAAGTGAGACTCTGTCTCTACAAAAAAGAAAAAAAAAACAAACCTCAATTTAAAAGTAGGCAAAAAAAATGTTTTTTAATGGTTAAAGGATTTCATAGACATTCTCCAAAGAAAGTATACAAATGGCCAATAAGCACATAAAAAGATGCTCAATATCATTAGCCATTAGGGAAATGTAAATCAAAACTGCAATGAGATATCATTTCACACCACCTAGAAAGGCAATAATAAAAAAGACAGAGAATAAATGTTGACAAGATTGTGGAGAAATTACAACCCTCATACACTGCTGAGGAAATGTTAAATGGTACAGCCACGCTGGAGAACTATTTGGCAGCATCTCAGATGGTTAAACACTGGGTGACCATCAACTGTTCCTACTCTTCTCATCCCCGTGATGAGCGTTCACATATACCTGGTTCCTATACTAGCCAACAAGTATCAAGCCAGGTCTGCCTCCCCTGGTCTCCATGCTCCTCTCCAAGGCTATCTCTTCCCTAATTCACCACATTTCATTCACTAAAACATTGGTTTTCTCTTTGTACTAGTTCTCTCCTGAACAGTGTAGTCTTCTGATTTTTGTCCTTGTTTCCTACACACTCTTCCTCTACAAAATCCATGGGTTCATCTCTTGTCCATGAGAGGAGTTCCTGTGACAAGGCTGAGTTCCAAGGCCTTTCTTTCTCTTTTTCCATCCAGAAGTAAACCAACTACCTCATGAGAGGGTAACTGATTTTTGCTGTACATAAAGACATATCCATCCTAGCTTGGTGCCTATAGCTCAGCAGCTAGGGCGCCAGCCACATACACTGGGGCTGGCAGGTTCAAACCTGGCCAGGGCTGCCAAACAATGACAACTACAACAACAACAAAAAATAGCCAGGCATTGTGGCAGGCACCTGTAGTCCCAGCTACTTGGGAGGCTGAGGCAAGAGAATCACTTAAGCCCAAGAGTTTGAGG